AATAGTAAATATTATTTTATTTATTCAATCTAAGTAATTACACTGTGAATTATGATATTTGCAGATTTCTTGTTGCATCTGAAATTGGCTGTCATGTTTTAGTGCATTATACTGTCTAAATTATAAATGCAGTTACAGTTTTTCATGAGATCATGCAATGCATTATAAGGTGCATTACAATGCATAATTTAGACATTCAAAATACTAATGCATTATATATAAAGGCTGCAAGTAAATATTGAATATTTAATTCAGACGTCCATCACATGACAGCAAAATGCATCGTATAAATGAGTTTTTCTATTAATAAACTGTCATGAAATTACAGAAACATACCTTCACAGCTGTATTTCGTTGTTGTTCAAACAGGAAGAAGAAACGTGCCGTCAAAATGATGATCACTATTGTCCTGCTGTTCACCATCTGCTGGGCTCCGTTTCATATCGTGCACATGCTGTTCGAGTACAGTAAGTGTGTAATGCAGCATTTACTCCTGTAATTGGCGTCACATGATGTGTTAGAATACAAGGCTTGAATGCTGAATGGCTCTGAACAGAAATCACAGCAGCTCGGTGTGAATGAGCTGAAATGTAGTATTGTGATGATCACACAAGGCACATTATTCACATTATTGGCAGCTGCTGTAATTACAGTATCCTGTGGTTATGTGGCGTCTCAGTAACAGTCCGGGCCACTCTTAATCGAGGCTGAACACATAATCACAGATGATTAATCATTAGACTAACACCAGCCACCACGCACAGGGTTAAAGAGGTCAAACGCTTCTGCTTGATCTGATCTCTTCTCGCTGCTCGAGCACAACAGCACCATGCTGTAAGTTCAGTTATATAATACACATCATCTTCTGGGTAACTGGTACTGCGTTCTAAACCAGACACATCGACACATACTGTGACTGCGGCTGGTTTGGATCCTCATTATGCTTTTATCACATTACGTCTGGTTAGGACACAATAAGTTCAATCAGTATCAATTACTGTATATCATTATGGTTATTAAGCAAAAGGCCTCTAACACTAGCTTGCTCTATTATTTTTCTATTCTATTTGTTTTCTTTTTATTTATTATATAATAAAAAAAATTAAAAAACTTGCTACGTGTACTGCGTTAAACTAACC